TGGAGGGGATTATAATCAATGTAATGAAACAAGGTATATGAATGTTTGAATGTGAAACCGATGATATGCCCTGAAAACTTTCACTCAATCCACAATAAAAACCTTAAAAAAAAAGAAAATACCAAATACCAAATACCATGGCTTGGGTCAGGTACACCTTAGTCCTCAAGCTGGCATCTTTGCTCTTCCATACCTATCGATAATTACAGTGAATGTAAATGGATTCAATGCACTAGTTAAGAGATGGAGAGTGGCAAAATGGATAAGAAAACAATTCCTTCAATATGCTGTCTGCAAGAGACACATCTTACACACAGAGACAAAAACAGATTAAAAGTCAAAGGAAGGGAAAAAATATACCAAGCTAATTCCAATAAAAACCTAACAGGAGTGGCAGTACTGATCTCTGATAAAATAAACTTTAAGGCAAAAATCAGCATAATATATAAAGATGGACATTATCTCATGATTAAAGGGACAATTGAACAAGATGACATAACCATATAAATATCTATGCTCCCAATAAAAGAGCTCCAAAATACATAGAATAAACTCTAATAAAGAAGAGTGGAGTGTGGGATCCTACCCAGAGAAGCACTGATGTCAGAGATGGAGGCAGAGACAATGACGTGGAGAGATGGAGTGGCTGGGGACTCTAGACCCAGAGAGGGAGAGGGGCTATGTGCTGATGACCAGGGAGCGCTTGCAGAGTGTACTCTTTGGTTGGTTGATGATGCATGGAAGGGATTGTAACCATGGCAATGAAATGATATATGATAGAATGAATGTAAAGGTAATGTTCTCCCATGTAAACTATCACACAATTCACAATAAAACATTAAAAAAAAAAGAAGGACCTCAGGATACTGGAGCAATCCCTATGATCAAACAACTCTGACATATGTTATTTGTCTTTTATCAGGGTACCTGAGTTCTTTCAACCAAAGAATTATGTTCAGACCTCAGAATATCCTTTTTAACTTCTTGAAAGGCTTTCCAACCCTTGAGGAAGTCCTAGTGGCACAGTGGCTAAGTATAAATACTGTGGAGTAATTCTACTCTGTCATATAGGATCGCTGTAGGTCAAAATTGACTCAGTGGTAATTTGTAACCACTATGCTACCAGGTAGCGTAGTGGTTATGAATCGGGCTGTGAACCTAAGGCCAGCAGTTCGAAACTACCAGCTGTTCCGCGGGAGAAAGATGAGGCTTTCTGCTCCGGTAAAGATTTACAGCCTCGAAAACCCTGTGCAGGGTAGCTATGAGTCAGAACCGACTCCACGGCACATAACAAAAACAATAGGAGTTGTCTAGGCTGAAAGTCAAGTACAAAGCCCCAGAATTGGAGCTAAAGAACTCTTCAACAAACATAATGGATAGCAAATTTCAATGTCAAAAAGGCAATGTGATAATGAACCAATCACATTTGTATAGTGCTTACTAATAAATAAAATGCTTTGATAACACCCTTTCATTTGATTCTCTTAAGAATCTAGGGAGAAAGATAAGGGTGAAGATATTTTTCCCATTTTATGGAAGAGGAAACTGACTCTCAGAGAGTTAAAATTATTTGCCTGAGTTGGAATATGAACCTAAATGTCCTGTTTCTCAGGCTAGGGCTCTTCTCAGTATATTACATAAACTAGTAAAGTTTTGACTGAGTACCAACTTAACTGTTGCATGAAGCATCCAAATAGCTTCCTATTGGATATGTTAAATAATAGATGAAGTCCCAGAGTGCTCAGGGGTGGTGGCAGAAACAACTCCCCAATGACTGGCATTTTAAAGTCCCACTGTATTCACTACAATAATACCTACTTTAGAACTATGTAGCTAGGGAGCCTTAGAAAGTTCCCATTGGAAAGGTTGTAGATAGCTTGGACTCGGATGATTAGGGAACATTGTGGAACTGGTGGCATTTGACTAGGATTTGACCTGTCTAGAGAACCAAGGGTTTAGGAGTCAGACAAACTTGGGTTTAAATCTTGGCTCTATCAAATACTCACTCTATGATCTTAATCATAATTCATACTATGCTTCATTTCTTCATCTGTAAAATGGATCTAAGCATACCTATTTTGCAAGGCTGTTGAGAAGCTAAGATAAAGAATCAGAGTAGTAGTATAGAATAGTAGTTAAGAATATCTTGGGTTTGAAACCTCATCCTGTTTCTTGCTATTTCTATGACACTGGATAAGTCACTTAACTTCTTAGAATTTCAGGTTTCACATATATAAAATGAGGAAAATAGTGCTTTCTTGGTTGTTGTGAATATCAAATGAGATAACCTTTGTAAAGCACTTAGCATAGTGCCTGGCACACAGTTTAATAAAAAATAATGATGAGGGTGGTGATAGTGATGGTAGTGAGAAACTAAAAACCCATTTTCTTCCCCCACAGAAAAGAAAGAGAAGCAAAGTTATTCAGTCCTGTTCTCTTCCATTTGCTCTCTCCATTTCTTTTTCTACAACCACAAACCAAGAATGGTAGACTAGAAGTCAGTGTTGGCTCTGAATGTCACCCCTATTACATATTAGTTATATGACTTTGTGGAAGTTACTTAATTTTCTTGAGATGTTTTTCTTCACCTGAGACATTAATCTAATTTAATTAAAATAATTAATTGCAGAGCCAATACTTTGCTTAATTTGCTGGGTTACTGTAAACATAAAATGAGTTAAAAGATTTAAAAGTATTTTGTGCACTAAAGAAATAAGAGGATGTCTGATTTGATCTATCATAGACTATAAGATGGGTATTTTTACCAGTAAAAAGCAACTTTATCTCCAAGGCCTTTTTCGTGGACATTTCGGTCCAGAACGTTGTAGCAGATGTTGGTAGTTGCTCCTTTCATCCACTCAATGAAGATCTTCCCTTTAGTGACATCAAAATTGTACTGAAGGAATGGACCAGGGCATGGAATCTTCCAGTAAAATTCTTTGGCAATGCTTCCCCAAAACTCTGCAACAGAAAGGTATGCCCAGATATCATTAAGCTTCTCAAGCATAATTATCCTCAGATGGCTCCCTAGTCTACGAATAGGACAAGGTCAAAAATTCTCTGCCTGTACTCCAGCACTTGGGTCCCTCTACCTGTCTAATCTTTACATCCACCATTAAGCTAACCCATCTTCTATTCTCTTGGCTCAAATTTCTTACTACCCTCCTCAAAATTGCTACTCCATCTGTTTATTTGCTATGGATTGAATTGTATGCTGTAAAAATATGTGTTGTAAATCCCAATTTCTATACCATTTTTAAGAATAGGTTTCTTTGTTATGTTAATGAGATATGATTAGTGCAGGGTGTGTCTTAAATTAATCCCTTTTGAAATTCAACAGAGATCAAACAAGCGAGAGAGAAACAGAAATGGGAGAAGATAGATGCCAGGCCACATGAAGATCAGCCAGGAGCAGAAGCTCCCAAGAGACAATGATCTTCCTTCAGAGCCAACAGAGACAGAAAGACTTCTCCTGGAGTTGGTACCCACAATCCAGACTTCTAGCCTCCTTTTATTGGGAGCATAGATATTTATATGGTTATGCCATCTTGTTCAATTGTCCCTTGAATCATGAGATAATGTCATTTTCAACAAATATTTACTGAACATCTCCTTCTGCTATTACCCAAGTACTTGCCAAATATATTCACTATGTGTCAGATACCGCATTAAACTCTTTTATGTGTATCATCTCAGTTAGTCTTCCCTACAACTTTAGGAAATAGGCACTCTTTTCATCCTTGTTGCATTGATTTGGAAAAAAAGGTTCCGAAATGTTAAATAATTTGTTCAGGATTCCATAGTTACTAAGTCAAGATCTGAACTGCCCTGAGGAAGAGACATTTTTGCTAAAATATGAAAGATGAGTAGGAGTTTTTCTCCACTCCCAACCAAAAAAGAGAGTGTTATGGAATGGAAGGGAATTGAGGATATAAGTTAAGAGGAACTTCTTTGAGGTTGACTCACTAAGAATACAGGAAAGAATGGCAAGAATTGATGCATAAACTAGACAGATCATGCAGTCCTTGTGGGAATAATAAGGAATTAGTACTAATTCCAAGAGCAATGAGAAGCCATTAAGGATTTTAAGCAAGAGAATGACATAATCAGATATACTTTTTAAAAAGATCTTCTTGGCTACTCAGTAGATTAAACAAATAAACAAACAAATTCTGTATCCACAGGTTCCCATTTCTGCAGATTTAAACGACTCCAGATAGAAAATATTTGAGAAACAAAATAAAACAATTATGTGGTCAAATCATTTAGGGTGTATTAATTATTATAAATAATCTAGGTATGTTTTGTTATATTGGACACAGGGTTGCTATGAGTCAGAATAGATTCAATGGCACCTAACAACAAGAAGAGATAATTTCAAGTATACATAGGAGGATATGTATATGTCATATACAAATACTACAGCCATTTTATGTAAAGAAAAGAGCCTTGGTGATATAGTGTTTAATGTGCTAGACTGCTTGCCAAAAGGTCAATGGTTTGAATCCATCAGCCACTATAAAGGAGAAAGATGTGGCAATCTGCTTCCATAAACATTTTCAATATTAAAAACCTTATAGGGCAGTTCTCTCTGGCCTGTAAGGTCACTATGAGTCTGAATTGACTCAAAGGCAGTGAGTTTGGTTTGATTTTGGTATAAGGGACTTGAGCTTCTGTGAGTTTTTGGTATCTGCAGGGGATCCTGGAACCAATCCACCACAGACATTGAGAGATAACTGTACTGGATCAGGAGCTAGAGGGGTAAGAAATACTTAGAACCTTAACAATGGAAGGAATTTTAGAGCGTATCACCACTCATCTTACAGATAAGAAATCAAATTCATAAAAGCAAAGTGACTTTAGAGTTTTTATAATCTAACTGGAGAAAGAAGATTTGAAAGAACACATGAAAGATTTTTAATGTTTCAGAAACTTGAATCACATAGTGCATAATCTTACAATCAATTAACAAATCCAAGTTAAATCTACCCCAGGTAACCATTATAAATCTATAAAATCAGAAAAGATAAGAAAATTATTAAACCAACCCCTGAGTAGCCCTAGGGAAATAGATATTCTTATACAATGCTGTCATTGTTAGAAATCAGTGTAATCTTACTGGATGACAAAAGTTATAAACTTTTTATACCCTTTAATCTGATAACTCAACTTTGAGGAATACACTCCAAGAAAACAATTCTAAATGAAAAAAGTCATTACTATGGAGATCCTTACGTTGTTATTGTTACGTGCTGTGGAGTCAGTTCCGACTCACAGTGACCCTGTATAGGGTTTCTGAGGAATAGCTGGTGTGTCTGAACTGCCGACCTTGTGGTTCACAGTCCAGTGCGGATCCTGCAGCGCCACACCAGGACTCCATGGAGATACTTAGAGCAGTACTATTTTAGTAGTGAAACTAGAAACCCCCCCAAACCCAACAATAAAAATACTGATTAAAACTAGTAATACAATAGAATACTACATAGCCATTAAAGAAAAAGAAAAAGAATTACCTTTAGTGAATGCCATTCAAGTACTAAAGAATGGGATAATCTCATTTATTCTTTATGACTTTATGGCTCTATAAAGTATATATTAATTATCCTAATGTTATAAAGAAACAGAAGCTCAGAAAGCATATAAAACTCTCCCATGGACCACACAGCTAGTAAGTAACCAGAATATAAAGTCAGATCCAACTCTAAAGTTCATGCTATTATGACTACATTGACTACATGTATATACCTAAAAATGTAAAAATGTTTTTTAAGTTGTAATCATAGGTATATGCTATATAAAACTACTTGTGAACCACATTTATGTCCATCAACATAGAATAAAGAAAACTGAGCTTTATGTTCACTTAGATAATTTTTTCACATCCCGGTGTGGCGCTGTGTTAATGCACTGGACTGCAAGGTTGATTTGAACCATAAGGTCAGTGGTTCAAGCTCACCAGCTGCTCCTCAGAAACCCTTATACAGGATTGCGATGAGTCGGAACCGACTTGACAACACTTAACAACAAACAACAAAGTGTTAAAATCTAGTTGTTTTGTTGGCACAGAGACTAAGAACTAAAGAAGTTCAGAAGAGAAGAAAATGCATGGACTGGGATGATCAAGGAATGCTCTCAAGATAGCAGATCCTACACTAAATCATACAGAATTTGTGCTTAGCAAGAAGTAAACAATCTACAGATAATAGATTTTATTACAGGAGAGGATGATGACAGAGACTACCATTTGGGATAGTGCCATTGACAGGGGTTAGAAAATAAAGGAGAGCAGGTTTGGGAGGGAAAGGTGGTAAAGCCTAGTTATAATCATCGTGAATGTGATATAATATCAAGGGATGTGAACAGAAAAGATCTATAGGTCTATGAAATTCGGGATCAAAGCAAATGAAATGCCAGGTACAGGACTATTCCTATTATTATAACAGGGAATTATTATTGTGGCAGTAATAACTCATGCCTGAGGGACAAGTGAACTCATGAGAGGAAAAAGAAGTGAAAATAAGTCTGAGAACTCAAACATGGACACTGCTTACAGCAGTCAACAATTATAGTCCATAATTGTTTCATCCGTGCTATTCTTATTGTTATCAAAATAATCATTTGTTGAATGCCTCCTGTGCATCAGACACTTTATAATGCACACTTATTACCCACTTCAGTACTTATCATTAGTCCACAGTACCACACCAGGACTCCATACAAACCTATGAACAAGTATTACAAGTCCTATCTTATAGACGAAGAAAAGGAATCTGATGGATTTTTTAATCTGTCTAAGGTGTCCTGGTGTGCCGCTGTGGGTTAATGCGCCAGACTGCAAAGCCATTTGAACAGCAAGGTCGGTGGTTCAAACTCACCAGCTGCTCTTCAGAAACCCTATACAGGGTCACTATGGGTCGGAACCAACTCGATGGCACTTAACAACAACAAGGTTCTTGGTTAAGGAATCTGGTAGCACAGTGGGATACGTTTTGGGCTGCTAACCAGCAATTCAAATTCACCAGTCTCTCCACGGGAGAAAAATGAGGCTTTCTGTTCC